TCATTCCAAGGTTTCTTTATGAAAATAATTATTTCCCTCCCCAAGGTGTCTCATGTCAAAGCGAAACAGCTGGCAAGACCCTGGGGCTTCATTTTTTAGAGGCATTCTCTCTCCTGTGGGCAGATCTAGGACAGCTGTGGGAAGGAAGCTGCCAGAGTTTGTGAGCTAAGAGATTGAAAATGCGGTTGGTCACGTTCCATAACCTCTGCCAAAGAGCCTTCAGAGGGCAAATGCCTGACATCCTATCCTAAATACTGGAGACAACTGAAGAATGGACCAGAGGACATCCAATGAAATTATCAGGCAAAAGATTTGACAGACAGAAGGAAGCATTTTTTCACACAACACGTAATTAAATTGGAGAACTCCAAACCCAGTTGTGGAACTCACCGCACCAGGATGTTACAGGGGCAAGACAGCACAAACACGTGGTTTTAACAGTGGTTAGCTCAGTTCAGGAAGGAGAGGTCCTTTGGTCAGGCAAATTGTGCTTCTACTTAGCTCAACTTTCTCTAGAGTTTATGTTGGATGAAACATTTGTGTCTTGCCTGAAGCGATGCTTTCTGCTGGTGGAGACTATCTGATATCAGTCGTGTTCTGTTTGACAGCTGGCTACGTTTCAGGAGCGAGTGGAGCGCGTTATTCTATAGGTACCGCTTGTGCATCAGTTGATTAAGAGCTTTTAAAAGGCATTAGAAAGTAAGGGCCATGGAAATGCCACTGTTTGAACCCCAGCGCACAGAAGTGAGATCGTTTAAATGTTTGTTCACATTTTAAAAAGTGTGTAGAGAAAAGCAGACCCAATGGGATGTTGTGCAAGCACAACACCGTTTTCAGACAACGTACGAACATATGGGACTTACCATGCAAAATGTCTGAATCATCTTCCACAAAATCAATATCTCTCAAATCCCATTCAGCATAGTTGTCAAACTCCTGTTCAGAGGTGATTAATAAATTGTCACCAATTAGCACTAAAAAAATCGCTATCAAGGTTCAGTACCTGTAGAAGCACTGAAAACAGAGGTATTTACTCATACAGAGTTGCACAAGGTTCCATCCTTGAGCAACGGGCATCCCAGGGCAGCTTTAACCAGCGAATGTACAATGTGCATCCCCGTGGCTGGAGCTGAACAGGATGCTGTGCCAGGATAATGAGAATTAATCAGGTAATCTCCACGACTCCCACCCTGCGGTGAAAATTCTGCTCCGCTGTACGAAACCAAGCCCCTACAGGGCTGAATTAATTCCTTCGTGTGCAGGAGCTTGTTTTGCAACAGGAACTGGGGCCGTGAGCCCACAGCAAAAACCACTGCAAACAATGCAGGTCTTTCAAGGGATCTTTGGATCGGGCTCCTGTGTACTTCTCTAAGGCAAGGGAAACTGAAGCGTGCTGAAGCTGACCCCTTTTGCTAAGCATCTAATTCACAGCATCTAGTCCGCTTACGTCAGAGCATTCATTGCTGGACATCTGGCGGCAGCAGCACGCTGGACAGCCGTCCGCACAGAGCCAGGGGCTCCCGCAGCCCTGCAGGCTTGCACCACCTCGGTAATTAAATCTGGGGGTTAATCGCTCTGTCCTGGCCTCTCTTCTAATGGTTTTTATATGAAGAGTAAAGACCTACAGGCAGGGGCAAACTAGTATGCTTTTGCTGGTCTCGCATGCAGTAGGACATGTGAAGCGATGGAGAAGAGCGAGCCTTACCTCCACGAAGTCAGCCCTGGCTGGCATGTACCCAGCCATGTCCCGGGACAGCAGGGAGTCAAAGGTGGGCCGGGGGGGATCATCCGCAGCTGGAAAAAAATAAAGGTTTTTTTAGTTGTTGTGTAGGGCTTTTTTTACCGCAAAGTGATCTGTAAATAGATGTTTCTTTTGCCAGAGAAGAGGGAATAATTAGCTGAAGAAAAACACCCTGATTAGTCGTTTATTCAGTGTTAGATTCAGACAAAGCCTGAGTTCCCCCAGAGAAAAATGCTGCGATCTGAGATCTTCAAAAGTCAAAACCAGAAATTCAGGGTAAATAAATAGGTCATAAAATGTAAACTCTACATTTCAGAGCTCAGCATCCCCCCAAGCTCTGCAGATGACCGGGTCTCAGCGTTTCTTTGGGTTAACAGCAGCAGGGGTGTTGAATCTGCCCCCGCCTGGGTGCCATTGCCCAGGAGCTGCAATCAAAGCGGCACAACTCCGCATCCCTACAGCGCTTCCCAGCTGAGGAGCTCCGTGGTTCTCAGACAGTAATGGACCCAGGCTCACAGCATACTGGTGAAGGAGCCAAGTGTTATAAGTCCCATGCTACAGATAAAGCAAGCTGAGGCACAAAGAATTTGTCTTGCCCCAGGTCACATAAAAAAAAAAATAAATCAATGACAGCCAGGGACAGAACCAAAACTGTCCGGTTCCTGCTGCTTTAGCTCTAACCACTTTATTGGGAAATTTAAACCTCCAGATAGCAATCATTTTACCCAGCCATTCTGGGGTGCTTTCTAATGGGACACGTTAGACTGGGGGAATTCTAAAGGTGTGAAATTTAAGGAAAACTGAAAATGTGTTAAATTGGGAAAATTTAACAGACACTTTTAAAAAGGCAGTTTTAAAGAGAGAGGTGTGAAATCAGGTTAAAGGGAGTGATGTTATGACAAATCCCATGGGCAGTTGGGCCCACTACCCAGGGGATAACCAGATGGGATGTTTTAAAGGCAGAAACCCCTCTCAGTTCACGCAGAGTCTGGATGGGAACAGGGACCACCCCGGGCTCAGGGGGGGAACTCACACGGGTATTTACCATGAAGGACATGCTGTTATACCGTGCCACGTGTGAAGCAGCTTTGAGGGACCGTGTCCTTTAAATGAATATGCATGTCCAGGGTTTTGCTGTGGTCATTTCTGTGAGTGACCATTTCCACCAGCTGTGCAGGAACTTCTGGTCTGGAGACCCCGATGTCTGTACCGGAGCGCTCTGCTCCCTCCCCTTTCCCACTGTCTTGTCCGTTTGATACACCGATGGTTTAATACAGGGTGAAGAAAACCCTACTGCTATATTCAAGCTAGCCATCAGCACAAGCTCTCCTCTGGGAATGAAAGCAAGCTGCAGTGTGGTGCATGCCTTCCTCCAAGGCTGCTCATCCCGGTTCTGGAAGAGCAGAGCCCTTGCGGGGAAGCTCACGGCCAGAGCTACTCACGGTGGAACGGGATGGCCGTTTCGCTCTGCTGCGCCTCCTCCGCCTGCTTCAGGTTCAGCAACGTAGAGGCAAACAAGGGATTGTTGATAAAGTGTTTCATGTAGTGTTTCTCACACTCCTCCTTGGATTTCGTGCACATCTGGTTGGCTACGTCCTGCCTGAAGTGGGGAGAGGGGGAGGCTTAGTAGGAAGAACACAGAGATGTTGAAGGGTTTTTGTCTTTCTCCAGTGGGAAAATAGAATTTTGGACAAGAGATCGATGGCAGTGTGTGCAGAGAACTGATCTGTGATGATGTCTGAATCCACAATTTGCGTACTAACACTGAGCCAGCACACGTTTGATACAGTCCCAGGGAGCACGTCTTTGCTGGTCATGAGCAATGCAATTCACTGGCTGATGGGATGTACCGGATCTTTTATGTGTTTGAAAATTTAGCGTTGTTACATGAGAGCTTTTAATGCATTTTACTAACTCCAGGTAATGGTAAATCCTAAGTCTGGAATTGCATTCTGCTTCTCAAGTTTCTGTTGAGATTTTAACTAGATAGCGGCTTCTCCTTTTGCAGAGCGATGTTAACAGTTTTTTTTTTTTAAACACCAAAATGGTTGTACAAAACACATCCTAGAAATCTTTGCCAATCCTTCTCAGAAAAGTGGTTGACCATAAAAATGAAGTATTTTGTCTCAATAGAATAGCTGTGTCAGTTGAGGACTTTAAAAAAAAAACAAACACCACAAGCAGCAGTTGTTTTAACTTCTGTGAAACTAAAAACTGGATGCAAGGGATTCCAGGAAGAAAAGTCAATTCTTCTTTTATTAGGTAAAGGCTGAAAAAAGCCACGTGTTTAAGTAAGAAGTTAAGATTACTTGTGTTGCTAAGTAGGGCATACTTGCAGAACATAACTGCAACCAGTTTTCAGTCTTAATTACGCCAGCAACGTGCACATGAGAACCCACAGTTCTGTTTCGGTGAAGTCTGGAGTTCTGTACTTCAATACAGCTCTTTTTCCATGAGGGAGAAGAGGGATAACTCATGACTACAGATCTCCTTTATTTACAAATGCATAAAAATCCTGTAGCAACTACAGAAACTAACAGAACATAATGTAAAAATATTAAATATTTCCAGTTCTTGATCCTAAATATGACAGAGAAGCAGGAAACCTCCAGAACCAGCAATGGCTAGCTAGCCAACTGTAAGCAAACTGAAACCACACAAATTCTGTAGCTGGTTTTTCACAGAGGAGTACACTGAGGCACGGAAAATCTCGTGCAGTAGTTGAGCTCCTTCAAAACCTAGTGACTTTAATGCGACCTGAGGGAACTCTGTATTTCCCTGGAGCTGCCCTGCATCTCCCAAGAAGCCTTTAACAATCTCCTTGTATATCTAACAGCAGATTTGAAAACAGAATCTGCTGCCCCAGCCTTCCACTTGAGCTGCTGAATTATTGTCTCACCCACAATAGGTCACTGCACATGCAATGTGCACCGACGTGTTCAGTGTTCAACAGTAAGATCCCGGGGAATGAAAGGAAAACTCCCCACCATTCACTGAAGTTGCCTGAACCACTCAGTTCTCACCAGTTTCCGAAGCCACAGTCCATCACAGCTTCCAGGAGTGCCATTTCCTCTTGAGCTGTCCAGTTAGGATCCAAGACAGGGAAATCAGACGTCTAGAGACGGAAAAAGCAAATAAAACTGCTGTGATCCTGTTATAATCCACCACGCGAAGAGCAAAGAACTTCTAAACTACAGGGCAGCGCCGTACATAATGCTGGCAGTTTTAAACTTTTACTGTGCCCCATGAAACCTGATCAAATAATTACTGAATGATTTAGGGCACTGGGGGACCACCTACAGTAAAAAGGAGTTTGTCACGACAGATCTTCTGATGTACTGCTACACGGTGCACCTACCAGCTGCAATTCACCAATGTGATGCTATGAAACACAATAAAAAATACTGAAGACTTTTTAAATTATTCATTTTGGGCAAGAAAAGAAAAAAACAAGCACAGAGAACCAGAAGTTGATTCACATGGTTAAAGGATCTGGAAGTCTAGTGAGATGTATTGTGCTATGCAGGCACAATAAAAAACCCATAGCTTTAAATATCTCCACTATCCCGTTGTGTTTGGGGTGGACGTTCTTCTTGGCTCTCAAGGAAGACTTTCTCTTTTTGTAAACCTCTGAATCAAAGAATTGTATCACTTAACTTTTCAATGTGATATTAGTAAGCGAGGGTCTAACTCCTGGGAAGTTACGAAAGCTCAATATTGAGTAGATGTTATCTAAAAGGCATATTTACCATTATCTCATAAGTATGATCACTTTGATGTTTCTTGTATTCAAATCCTCGTGTGAAACACTGTGGGACACAGGATTAGCATAGTTAGTCACTGCTGCCCTGAAAGCATTTCACCTGCTCCCTTATTTCCCTTTATTCTCCGACCACTGCGTGACCACCTGATCTGCTGAAAAAGAGACTTCATCTTCCTGATTTCAATTTAGGAAAAAATGTTAAACGGTAGAAAAATCAGTGTTAAAATTGTGTTAAATCTGTCTTTGTATCTTACTTTTCTTTTGCATCAAGACATAACTCCTGTGAGTTGCCTTACTGTTTTGTTCAGTATTTATGGCAAAGTCAGGCAGGTGATGTTTCAGAGTGGATTGCTCCAAGAAGAGGGCACAGAGCCTTTTTTAAGGATTTCCCCTTCATCTTGGGTTTCTGTTTAAAAAGCACCAGCATGGCTTGCAGCTAAATTTCAGGTTTTTTAAGTACAGGTAAATGAACAAAAATATACCCAGTATCGCGTTTGGGGTATTTTGTACATACCTGAGCACAAGGCTAAGCCTCTTTTTCAGTTTTAGAGGTTATTCCCATTTTTTAATCATAAATAATGCAAACTCATTTATTTATTAAACCCAGCAGCACTTTCTGTGGTTCTCAGACCACACACCTATTTTTTAAAGAACTATATCTGCTCACAAACAATTCCTGTCAACATCGCAAACCTTCCCCAAATTTCCTCTTCCATTTGGGAGGAAAATAATGTGCGGTGACAGGGGAAGGGTGTTTCCTGCTGGCTTTTCTTTGCCATGCCACGAAAGCCTCTCTAGACGTGCAGCAGCACGCTCCGTCACACCGTCGGGCTGACTGCATGTCTTTGGGAAGCTTTGGCTGCCCTCACAAAGATCTCCTTCAGCTGCTCGTGTCTCAACTCTTCAGCCTCCAACATTTTCTTTGTCATTTCCCTGTCCCTGAGCAAACAAGTGTGTTGATATGAGTTTACAGAGGCCGGTTATTAATGAGCTTGGCACCGGCCAGGTCTTTGGTGGCTTTCTGAAAGAAACCGATGCTTTTGCTCTTATCCGTGCACCCACCTGCAAGCAGAGGAGGAAGGGAGGGGGCCCGCACTCGGCACACTTCACGTAGGGCTCCGTCAGGTACGAGGAGCAGCCTCGGCACGGGGGCTTATCGAAAGGGTCGTCTGCGAAGCCAAAAGTAAATCTTATGCGACACAAACAAGACACTGGTTTTGCAATCCTCTAAATTCACTTGCGCCCGGTCATTTTAAGTGAACTCAATGTTATAGAACCTCTTTCCTACTGCAGCTTCTCCGAATAGCTGTTCCTTGCTCTGCTGGAGCTGGAAGACGGATTTTTGGCTCTGCGTCCCCGCTAGACCCGACACACTGAGGGTTAAACCTGAACTTGTGCAACGGAGCAAAAGGAAAATCTCTGCAGCAGCCTCCTGGTGCCGCACATGGAGCTGCGCTGGCAGGCTGATCTGATCCAGGGCCGTGCTCAGCTGCGGTCTCCCACCCACCCACCTCCATCAGCCCCGTACACCACATCCTGTGGCTGCAAAGCCATCGACGGGACGATCCTGTAACCCACCCGGACCTCAGACCCTGCTCAGATTGCTGAACAAGGATGGAACACTGCTCTGTGCATTATTTTTTTTTATTTTGTTCAGTGCAAAGTAGTCAAAATAAAGAGACTGTCAAGTTCTAAGCCATGTTTTTTTCCAAGAAAATGGATTTGAACTAGCCCAACCACAAAAAATAGAAAAAAAAGACCTGAATTCCCACGGAATCATTCAGGTACTCGTGCTCTTGAGAATGGGATCAAAGCACTGACCCTGTGGAGCAAATATTCCGAGTTTTCTGTCCCTCTCCCCCAGACAGCTGCTGATGTCTTTAAACAATAGCAAACACCTTCCAAATGTCATCCCGGGGTACGTACTGCTGAAGGAGGCCAGGCGCTCCATTGCTCTCCCTCCGTGGAGTTCTTGCTCCTCTGAGCAGAGCTTGTCTCGCCTAAAATCCCGCGGTGCAAGCCTTGCCCCAAGCGCTGGGTCCAGAAAGCGTATTGCTCTCCCTGCCGACGCCTCTGGCGTCCCCGAAAGGGCTGTCAGCTGTCTTCGCAACAGGGACCATTTGGCATGGCTCAGAGTCTTTTCTGCAGATTAAAAGAAACAAAACGCAGAGCGATGGGATGCAGCGTACGGAGATGTGACGGGGTGGGGAGATGAGCCAGCCCCGAACGGGGGCTTTCCGCGGGACTGTGTGTGCTGAGCTGGGAGTTATCAACAGCTGTTGGTGCAAGAAGGGGTTTTGCAGCCCCAAGAAGCGCTGGGAAGAGGACAGGTTGGAGGTGGCACGGACACAGCAGTGCAACGATCCACCATGCTGGGATCAGCGACATTGCCAGCGCTGACTGCCGGCAGCCCCGGTGAGCAGCCCCGCTTCCCTGCACAGCGAGGTCCCGCGCTGCTGTCCACCATCGGGAGCTGAGCCGCTTTCCTCTGTGCGATCTCTAACTCGTCTCACAAGGTATTTTTGCTGGTTCCCACTTATTGAAACTCATGTTTCTCTTTCTAGCCTCTGCTCCACTGATGCTGTGTGGCCCCTCCACGGAGAGAGCAGCTGGTTCCACCCTGGCCGCACATCCCTGCACCTCAGAGAGCC